CCTTTAGCTACTGGTAGAGTTGCTCAAGAGAGGACATTTTGTTCAGATTCACAGAGAGCACACAAGGCATGTCTTCACAGAGTTAAGTACAGGTCGCTGCTGTGACCTGGATCAGTTTGTACAGTTAAAAAGAATGAGATAAATATATATGAGTTTGTGTGATAAATAACTGACTGACTTAACTGATTTACTGACTTACTGATTGACTCGACTGACTGGCTGACTTGACTGATTTACTGACATACTTATTGACTTGACTGCTGTATAATCCTCCGGGTTTAGCGCTTCCCCCTTGATTATAATAATAATAATAATTGACTTGACTAACTGACTAATTTACTGACTGACTTGATTGACCTAGTTAGACTTTTTCACTGAGGAGGACCATGACAAATTTAGAAGCAGTGCTCTGAAGCATTGTCTGTTGCAGCTGATACCTTATCATCAGCTGTATAATGTACTGCAGGGTAAAATAGCCCAGAAATCCATTACAGAATTTATGCACACTCCAGTACAACCATCTATTTCAGTACCAGAACCTCTACCATCCACCTCAGCCCAGTAGGGCCACAGCATAACTCTCCACTCTCTTCAGTGATCAACAAACACCAGCATCCACAATTTAAGGTAAGAAATACTATTATTTATGTTGCATTTGTAGTCTTAAGTAGTAAAAATATAATATATCATGACAATGAACTACAATTACATATTCACTTTTATTTTTGTAAGATCTGTTAGTCTAAAAAAGAAGTTTGGCTTTTTGGGGGCTCCCAGGAATGTAACCCTATTTTTCCCATAAGTTCTTCAGTTTGTCTAATGCGGTTTTAACTATCACGGCATTTTCATGAACATAACTACCACGTTAAACGACTGTCTACTGTATGGTCAGATTTCTCGGCCTTCTGTTTGATCACTGACTGTCCTGGAAACCTCACATTACTGTACCTCCCTGAAAGCAACTTGCCATAGCCAGCTGAAACTCCTTAACCCCTAAACTGTCCAAACGTAGATCAACGTTCACTTGCATGCTGCTCTGAATATTTGGGGAAAAATTTTTTCTTTTGTTTGTTTAAAATGAAGAGCGCATTTTTCCCGGCATCCCCGAATTTTGTCATACTGCTCACACTGAGTGCACAGACTCATTCTCTCATGTCTAGGCAATTCAGACTTTTTGTGCTAAGGTTGAAAGCATGTAAAATAAAACGTAGATCTATGAATGGAGCACTATGCACATAAATGTAGCTGTATGTTTGGACAGTTTAAGGGTTAAAACCCTTGCTCATCTTTTGGGGGGGAGGGGGGATTGTTGAACTCTCCAATGGCATTCAGCCCTGATTTTATTGAAACTAGACTATGGCAACCAGATATATTCTGTGGCCTCTCCTGCAACTCTTTCTAAACTTGATCCCATCAATCATCAGGGATTACATTTATGTCTAGGTGCTTTTCACTCCTCACCTGTTGTGAGCCTATATGCAGAGGCAAATGTTACCATCCTTGAACGATCACTGTGATGCCCATTGTCTCCATTATTTTGTCTGCTCTCATGACCTTATGATCCTTATGCATACATGATAGTAATGGATGTTAATAGAGGTTTATTATTCGTTCGCCACCTGTTTACTCCGTCTCTTTTTCACTTCGTCTTCACTCACTCTTAACTTCTCTTCAGTTGCTCCCTTTGTGTTCATCTAGCATCTAATTCTTCTCTTCCTCCTTGGAAGGTTCCAACAGTTTGTCTGTTCTTCCTCACTGTCCTGTGCAAAAGCTTAAATACCTACATTTGCTTCACTTCCTTTTTCTCAACCACTTCCAGTGTCATTCTCATGCAGTTTTAATGTATAGTGATGGTTCTAAATCCTCTGACAATGTTGGCTTTGCAGCAATGTTGCAATATGGATAAGTGCAATTCTCATTGCACCTATCATATTGCATCTATGCCTACCTAAACATTTGTAGTTATTTCAAATTCTTTTAGTGCTTTGCAGGCTATTAAAAAAATTATTTGTATACAACTTTGGTTGCACAGCATTTCTAGCAGAAACAAAGAAATCGTTTTCTGCTGGGTCCCTGGTCATGTTGATTTTCAGGGTAATGAGCAGGTGAACTCTGCTGTGTGGTCAGTGGTACGTGATCTCCAAGTTTCATATAGAGGTATTCCATTCTCAGACTATAATTTCTGTTATCTCTAACCGCCTTCGCAACCAGTGGCAACAGCGTTAGTCCAACATGACTCGTAGCAAATTATATTTTATCAAGCCAAGTTTAGGTTTTTGGCCTTGTCATTGATGCCAAGGTTGGAAGACTGTGCTCTCCCGTCTTCTCATTGGGCACACCAGTTTCAGTTTGCCATATTCTATTGGACTGTCTTGTCAGTCAGTAAGCAAGCAGAATTTACCTCTGATGTCATCACCATTCTTATGCCCTTGATTTATCTTCTCTCCTTGCTGACAGCCCCACCTTTGACTCAGACTCCCTCTTTGATGTTTTGACAGCAACTGACTTATTACACTTCCTTTAGCACTCCTCACAGCCCTTTCTGTCTCAAACTCTTTTATCCTCTTTACCCTTGCTACTCTCTAGATCCAGCAACACCCTCTGCCCTACAGCAGTTTATGGTTTTTGATCATAATCCAGGTGCTGTATGACCCCTTTGGGTGTAGCACTTGCCCTGACTAAAATAATGCAGAAGTTTGAGACACTTATGCAATATATGGGAATCTTCATTGAGGAAACGTTTTGCCACACACTGGCTTCATCAGTCCAATACAAATCAGAAGGGTGTAAGGAGAGGAGTAGTTTGAGGTAATCAGTCCCTCAGCCTGGAGTCGATGTGTTCAGTCCCTCAGTCTTGTAGAAAGTCTCAATCTTCAACTTGTCATTGTTGTTTTTTCTTTTAACCATTTATCACATCTGTCAGACACTGCAACATCATGGGATCTTGATACAAAGAATTCTTCAACCTCGTCCAACCTTTGGACGAAGACCTACTTCGACTAGTGGATGGTACCACTACGACCCTGCCTCCTCCTGCTTCGCCTCGCCTGACTACAGTGTGTAAGCCATGTCTACAGCCCTATGCTGTACTTTCTACAAGATTGAGGGACTGAACACATCGCCTCCAGGCTGAGGGACTGATTACCTCAAGACTCCTCCTCTCTTTACACCCTTCTGATTTGTATTGGACTGATGAAGCCACTGTGTGGCAAAATGTTTCCTCAATAAAGAGTCTCATATGTTGCATAAGTGTCTCATTCTTCAACTTGTCGCTTTTTTTTTTTAAACCATTTATCACATACAATAATGCAACCATTATGCTGTGACCATTATTTGTGAAGTTGTTATATATGACAATTATCTTTTGCAAGCAGCATATGTTGACTTGCCTCACCATTGTTATGAGTAGCATCTGTTACATGTCCATTTTTTGAGACAACCATTCATGGAGTGCCCCCTTGTTTTTTCTGTTATGTTTGGCAATTTTTTTTTTCATGACAGAAACATTGTTATGTAATGTTTAAACTTTTATTAGTGACACTTTGGATTTAATCTCGATGAATTATATACATAATAAATGCAAAGTCCCTGGGAAGTTAAACATTGCTGGAGAATGGGAAGAAATATGCTTCATCCAAGGGGAAGGGGGGGTACCCCAAGATCCTTGATGGTATTTTATTCCAAATCTGCATGATTTTTTCCTGAATTTAAGCCTTGATGCTGGCGAAGGTTTATGATCCAAAAGCATGTGATATGCCCTTTCCTTGTCAAAGGTGATTACCACCCATTCCCCCGTCGTATGACCCCAAAGCCTGCATTACCCTGTGTACAGCAGTTTTTAACATTCATGGAAAAGAGGAAATATGTGGGCTAATTTTTTCATGTTTCAACCTGTTGGGCCAGTCCCAAAATGAGGGAGATGCAATAAAACAAAAGGGGAGTAATAAAACTTAAATTGAGGCGTCATACAGCACTTCGAGGCTTTCGGTTTGATCCAAGGAAAAAAAGATGGGTTTTTTTCCCTTGAATAAAGAGCCTCCTTGCTCTAACACCTCCTTGAGGGGTGTTTTTGAGATTATTTGATACAGAGTGTAGTTTCGGTTGAAAAAAAAAAACAAAAGCTACAAAGTCCCCTTTTTGAAACATCACTGACTTTTTTTTTTTTTTTTACAAAAGTGCATTTTCTTGGATACAGCGTTAAGGCAATGGAAATAAAGGGGGAGTAGGTGAGTTTAAGTTTTAAAAGGGGACTTCACTATTATTTTTTTGGGGGGAGTACTTATATCCTTAGAGGTCATTCAGTGCATGGGAAAAGGGGCATTCAGGATCAAAACCCAAGGGAAGGGAAGGCAGGGTTTTTCCATGTTTTGAAATCTTTCCCTTTAGGGGGGTTTTAAAAAACTTGCAGCTAAAATACACAAAAAATCTTCATAAGAGCTTGTTCTGGATTTTCACATTTTAGGGTTAAAAAAACTAGTAAAAAGCTGCATTACAGGGATTTCTTCCAAAAATGCACAATCCCTCATGGGGGCAGAAAACACAAAGATTCTTGGTTTTTATTTTCATTATTTTCCCGGAAAGTACTAAACCCCTATAGTCTTTCAGGGCAATGGCAGAAATGAGAGTATAGGAAGAAGCAGAGGTGCTGAGGGACAGCAGAAAAGTAGGCATAGATCAAGTTGATGTTAGAAACTATACTATAAAAAATTTAAAAGGGAACTGTCAAGGAAAACAGAGGGGACCCTTTTTAGTGTACTGGGGGTTTTTTGAAAAAAGCTGGTATACTTAATGAAGGTTAACTTGAGATTTTAGACTGTTTTCACTAAAATTTTTGCAGGGGTTTGGACCTTTTCCACAAGATGCCAATATTAGGGGGTGGCCAAGGCACAATAGCGCAAGTTCTTGGTAATAGAAAAAGAATCCCCAGTGCATCAATGACACTGCAGCTTGAGACCCTTTGCACTGAAAAGCTTACATATCACACAAACAAATGTAAGTGATTGGGTTCATAATGTTTAATTTTTTAATACAATACATTAATGTACTTAACAACAAAGCATGTAAGAAAAAAATTCAGGGTTTACTGTTTATCATTTGCAGAATTAGTATAATTTGATTGGATAATGGGTAACAAAAACTGTTACATTTAGGGGTGCCACTATATAAGATTTAAAAATTGCTACCTTCTATTTTATTTTACTGAAGTCAACCTCCAACTGTTAGGCATATAATAGAGCTTTAGCATTCCCCTTCCACTCAGTGATATTTTGGCTGCATTCTGTTCCAGATTATAACATCTTCACTTTGTCAGCTAATTGTCTTATTTATTATGAGCTATTATATTTGTGGGAAATGTGAGCTGTTATTACAACATGAAAATTTGTAGTTGTCACTAGTGTTCACATGTAAATTTCAGCATTGTTTATAAAATAATAGAATTTGCCATTGTCAGATATGCAAATTATTGTTCCCTGGAACAGTCTTTCACTGTGGGAGCATATATTTTCACATTACTATATTTTAGGTTCTTAAGTACTAGATACTGCAGTTTGATATCACTCCACTATTTTATCCTTTATAATTCACATTCTTTTTGATTATAATAATAATTTATAATTCACTTAGTTTATCACCTGGTTGCACTGGCCAGAGATTATACTGTCTGTACATTATGTCAGCATTTTGCTTGTCTTTAAATATATCTAATGCAACCTGCTTGCTCTGATTCCAACGGCATTCAAACTCGTGCACTTGTCACCACCATTATATTTCTACTCTCTTAATAGTTATTTAAACTAAAAATGTCAATACTATTTTGTATTAATATCTCTTTACATTAGTACTGTTGTTTTAATATGCAATTTTTTACTAAATTATTACATTTAATAATTTTCAGAAAACTTAATTATGTTAAACTTAGCATTCCAATAATCTTAAATGCAATTATTCATGTCAAGTCATTTTAAGTTCTAGTTTTAGCTTACCCAAAATGCTGTGCATAGCCATAATGTAATAAACAAGTCACCTAATTTTGTAACAGTTACATACATTTAAAATTGGTTTGATTATATTTGAAGTTCAACTAAATTCATTATTCAGTTATAAACTATGTTTCCTTTCTAATCTACAGTATCATACCTAAAAATATTTTTCATTGTTAGTGTTTATTATATTAGTGTTTACTAATTGATCAATATATTAATTGGGATTAGTACAGTATTACCTTTTATTTTTATACTGTATATCTATAGTTTTATATACATATACAATATACATTTTATGTTCTAGTATTACTCCTAGATTGTCTGCCCAAACTGCTTTGCATACCTATTGTTTTTTCCATGTAAGAAATAACTAGGAAACCAATACTTCAAACATGAATTATATCTTATCAAAATAAAATTTCATCATATTATAAATTAAAAATAGACATTAAATTTTGACAAAAATTGCATGGTTGGACAAATATAGGTGATTGTTTTGATATAATCTTTATACAGTGGAGCTATTTTAGCAGGGTTTAATTATTTTGATGTTATTGGTATCCAAACTAAATGGTTATGAACAAATAACTCAACAGGCACTCCTAGGGTACATCTGTAGAGTGGCTGCACCCCAAACTTAATAGTATACAAGTTACAGAAGGCAAGCAGTAAAACATTAAAAGAAAAAAGTTACACATTTTATTGAATGTTATTTTAACTATTCCAATATTCTAATTACACATTAAAACATTTGGAGTCTCCAAAAGTTGTACCTTGCAAAAAACACGTTCTCTATCCTTACAACTAAAAAAATCTTAGCAATCACTACATTCAAGTTATCAATCCATCGTACTTTATTATAAAATATCCTTAAAAAGTCTTAAGATATAATCTACTCAGCACCAGCTTCCACATCTCCACTTTCCATTTCCATTCTTTCATTTTCTTGGTCATGCTTCTCATTCCCTTTTACATTAACATTATGCTTTGCATCCACTTCCTCACAATTATCACCACTTGCCTCGACCATTTCAACCTCATCATCTTCATACTTGGCTTTATCTTCGTCCATTTTTTCAGAAGCATCTTCGTCAACTTTTTCAGCGCTGCTTCCATCTTCAACCTGAAAGAATTATAAATGTCAAACCTTTTGGAAAGTCCTATTTCACATTTCAGTTGTCATCGTTTCTGAAGTTTAGTCATCCATGTCACCATTATTCTGTGATGATTAAAATATAAATTGACATCACTACTGTTCATTCCCATAGTCATCCCCCTTTTTCCCCCCTCAGTGTTTGGGCAGTGATGCTAATGTCCCCCTAAAATTTTGTTAACCCCCTTTCCTCACTTTTTAAATTGCTACCTATGTACACAGTCTTTCACAATACCTATCTAACCCGCTCAACATGCTGCGCATGTCCAGCCCTTGCACCAAAACTCTTTTACTGCCTTCCACCCCACAAAGATTTTCCACCTCCAAGTCACCCTATTATGCTCCATTTTTAAAATGATCAACCCACCTCAAAACCCCCCTTTCACCCCTTGCCCTCTTCAAGGGGGGCCCCTTTGGCGGGGGTGAAGAGGCTTTGGTTGGGGATTACCCCTGTCGGTCTTTTTCCCTCGCCCAAAACCAATTCCCCCCCTTCTCCCCCCCCCTTCCATCCCCCCCTTTTTTCCCTTTCCCCCTCCTCCCCTCCCCCCCCCTTTTTGCCCTTCCTCTTTTTGGCCTTTGGGTTTTCTCCCAGGCACGCTAGTTCCTGGTAGGGGAAAGGACACGGGGTCCACCCCTTTCCGTGGGGTTTCTTGGCGGTGGCGTAGTTTCCGTGGAATCTGGATTGCCGGGGGAGCCCCGATCCCTCTCGGTACCCCGGGAGTAGCTTTGGGTGTCTTTCGGGCGAGGGTGTTTTTTGGAGCCACTTTCGGTTTTCCGGGGGTGGGGGCCCGAAGGAGGTATGTTTGTGGGCGGATATCCGGCCCCCCCTCTCTTTTGTCCCCGGGGTTTATCGGCAGATGTGAGGTTGCTATCCCGGATTGTGGTTTACTGGCATGAAGGGTGGGGTTGGCACGGGTTCCTGCTAATTGGGTATAGCGGTGTTGAGGCCCTTTTTGGGCGCGGAGGGAGTTTTGGGGCCCTTTCATTCCTCGGGGAAACTATTCCCCCCGTCCCTTTTTTTTTTTTTTTTTTTTTTTTATTTTTTTTTTCCTTTTTTCTTTCTTTTTTTTTTTTTAAAAAAAAAAAGCAAAGGAGTAACCTAACCTGGAGGCCCATCCATGAACCACTACCCCGGGCCCCTTCTTGATCCCGCACCATTCTGCCCCTGCCTTGTTTTAGCCCACTTTCGGACACCCCTGATCCCCCTGTCCTTTTGCTGGTGTTTTCCCTCACCCGTTAGGTACCGGGGCTTCCACTGACTCCTTCGATTTTAACCCGTTCCCCTTTTGATATGCTTCGGTTCTCCTTGGTAGGCAATTTTCGAATGCCCCCCCCTTTTACCCCGGGCCCAAACTCGGTCCTATCCTAAACGCCAACGTAAATTTCCCCTGATGATGTCCTTCGTTCCTTCCCTTTCTATCGGAAAAGCCGCCGTCAAGCACTCCCTCTCCCGCTCAGTTTCGGCCCCCCCAAAGGGATAAATTCTTTATTTAAGACGACTTCTTTTCTGCCTACCTTTCTGCCATAGTTTGGCAAAGCGTCGGGTTTCCTTTGGCGAGATTTTTTCATTTCATGCTTCAAGAGGGGTACGCGCATGTCCTGCCCGAAAGTCCCCCAAGCTCATGATTTTTCTTCCTTTGATTCGATACTTCCTTCCTATTGAAAAATCTTTCTTCAATTCTTGTAGTGGTACTGTATTCTCCCCTTACATACCCAACAGATTCCAGTCATGGGCAAGACATTTTTGAACGCTGGAACTCCAGGATCTCCCAATCCTCAAAGTAGCACTTTGTCTTCCCTGCCGGGGGCGGAGACGTTCCCCTTGAAATGTGGTCTTTTAAATTTTTGACAGCGGCCCCCGTCCTCTGTTATGTGCGGGACATCGGTTACAAGTTCGAAAGGGATACCTACCCCGCAACAATGTAGAAATTTTGTGGCGTTTTGGTCACCCGGGAATATTGCGATCTATGCCCGAATGCCATTGTGGTGCGACGCCATTCTAATACTTTGCAGTCAACCTCCATCTTGCCTTAATTGTAATGAAGCTCCCCCTTCGTACTCCGCCGTTCCCAGGTCTACTTAATGAACGTAAAAACCCGTTTGTCAAAGGGCAGAAGGTCCCCCTTATGCTAGGCGTTTTACTCTTTCCCCGCCTCCCAAGGGAGACTCCCGTGTTTTTATTTTTTTTCCCCCCCCCCATTTTGGGGGTCCCATTTCGCGCCCCCTCGTTGTTACCCTCCTACCCACTACGGATTTTCCCTTTTGCTGCCCTTGGTCTGAGCCCCCGACAAATCTCTTTTCTCACACTTCGCTTTCCTTCCTCACAAGCCCCAGATGGAAAGACCTGTACGAACCTATTCCCAAACGCCCTCTATAAAAAGTCCAAAAACCCACATGCTCAAATCTTCTTTCCCCCTTCCTTCCCTTCTTCCCACCTCCAACTTTACCTTTCCAGTCTCTGTCCCTAGTTTTTCCCCTCTTTGGTCTATTACAGTGGGGAGATTCACCCTCCCCCTCTATATCCCTTTCCCACCCCGTCCCCCCCCAAGTTTCTCCCTCTTTCCCACCCCCCAGGTTTCTCCCTTTCTGTCCCCCCCTACCTTCCATCTCCTTTCCCTTACACTTTTCCCCCTCCCCCCTTACTTTGGTCTCCTTTACTGTCCCAACTTCCACCCCCCTTCATTAATATGGTTCCTCTCTTTTTAAAAAACACAACCATTTCGAAAACGGCTCCCCCCCCAAACACTACCCCCCCCCCCCCCCCTTTTTCCCCCCCTTTCCCCATTTCCAACCCCACCCCCCCCCGTTCCTTCGTACTTGAACTCTTCAATGCCACCAACATTGACTTTTCTAACCCCTCTACCCGTAGGTGCCTTTACCTACGATTCCTGTTTTTTCTTCATCCCAATCATGGCCTTTTTACAGGGGAATATCCGGGGCCCTCGGGGTAACGGGGGGGTTTTCAGATTTTGCTTTCCAGGTTTTCCCTTTTTGGTGCTTGCTTAAAAGAACCAAAATTACACTCGGTTGTTTCCAACCTATCTCGGGCTATAATTTATTTATTCTTCGGACCTTTTCAGATGGGCCTTTAAAAAAGTCCCCTTCTTCTACGAAAATGATATTCCGTATGTAAAATTTTTGTCCATCCCCTCGCTGCATAACTGCAGCCGTACCCTTGAATAAGGGTTTAAAATTTTCTTTATTATTTCTCCTTTGAGCATTTTCTATCCCAGACTTTCCTTTCTTGTTTCACCCCTTACCACCCCCTTCTTTACTGGTGATTTTTTTGCCCCTTTTCCCTTTGGGGGGGGGTTCATTGTGACTCAGTGGCATTAGTTGGAGGTTTTCTCCCTCTCCCCCCCCCATGTTTTAAAACGGGTATCCCCCCCTTTTTGACCCCTTATCTACTGCTCTTGCTCGATCTATCAGTTCTTTTCCCTCCACTGCATAATTCACTGGTTGTTTACCAGACTTACTGACAGCGATTTTTTCCGACTTTTCTTACTTCCCCTTTCCTATTATCACCTTTCCGTCCCCTCGCTGGAAATTTGATCGGGAAAATTTGGGATCTTTACTCAACCTCATGCTTTTAGAAAGGTTCCTTCTTTTACCTCATTGATGAGTCCTCCCTTCCAAAAGTTTATACCCCAGCTTCTCATTTTATACCCCAAACCTAGGCGGCATTCCAAAAAAGTGCGTGCCTTTGGGGGTCTCCTGCTTGTGCTCGTGCAGTACGTTTGAAAAGTGCTGCATGGGGCAGGTCCGGTACAAAAGAACCGCTGAGAGACTTCTTGATTTTAAGCAGAAGGTGCGATGGTCGCCGGGTCACCTGAAGCTAAACCCCTTGTTGGCGGACTTGTTTCCCCCCTACTCTGCTTTTTATGGTGCAGTCTGGAAAAAAAAATGAGGAAATTAGTGGTAAATATCTCCCGACCGGCTCCCGTTTAGGGTCGTGGGGTTGATGTAGCAAACCCCCTCGACGTTGCCATTGAACTTTGGGACACATCTGGTCCGTATTTCCCCAGGGCTCCTCTAGCCCCCCCCTTTCTTTTCAAAATTGCGAGAGGTTTGTACCCCTTGGGACTTTTACTTAAGAGAAAAACGTAAAATGTGCCTTTTACACTTCAAGAACTGGAGCAACGCTCCGCTTTTCCGATCATCGGGGCTGGGTGGCCCCAATTAGTTGTATGTTACAACAAAATTTTCATGGGTTTTGCCTTGTAGTCCCCTTACACTTTCCATTTATTTGGCACAAAGGGGTTTTTCCAGTGTGGAAAACTGCCATTTTTCTCCTTCCCCCAAACGGGTACTACAGGACTGATGCCTCCACTAGCCCCATCCTCTTATAGTGCGTTTGCAAAATGATGGAAGCCCGTAAATGACGTTTAAGGGGGTATTTAGAGACTACAACAGTCTCTCCCCTAGTCAAATGGCTTTCGTAAGGGTCGTTTACCTGCCCTTCTCGTTGGAAAGTATGTTCGATGCCTTTTCGAATAAACACTCAGTTTTGCCCCTTTTTTTTGCTTTGGAAGGGATATGACACAATTTGGGGGTATTTAAAATTTTTGGGCCCCGGCCCATTCCTTTGGCCTCCCAGGCAATTACCTCCCTTTCCTTAAGAAATTTTTTAATGAAGACATTTCCGTTTCGAGTCAATAATGTTCTTTCCCCCGGGCTTGTCCAAATGAAAGGGGTCCCCCAGGGGTGTGGGTTTAAGCCAACCCCCCCCCCCGTTTCTCCTTGTTAAAAGATTTGGCCTCTGTTCTTCCCCCCAATATTTGGGCATCACCCATGTTGATGATTCGTATTGCTTGTGCAGGCGCTGACTGCACCTTATTGCAGTTTTCTCCAGCATGCGGCGACCATGTTTCCACTTGGGCCACCACCATGGGTTTAAAATTTTAAGTACCAAATCACCAAAATTTTTTCATAGACGCTCTGTTTTCTCCGAATCCTTTGTATCTCTATGGCTCCCCTATCCCCCAAGTGATCAGTCGGTTTTTAGGCCTTCTCTTTGACCGTCGGTATCCCGGAAAACCCCCATTACCTCTCTGAAGGCAACTTGTCACAGCCCGGCTAAAACCCTTTTTAAAACCCCTTGTCATCTTTAGGGGAGCGATGTCGAACTCTGCTTCGCCTACATTTACCTGTTTTATCGAAACTGTTATGGTGACAGATTTATTCGCGGCCTCTCCCGCTACTTCTCTAGCCCCTTAACTCATCCATCACCAAAGGTTCGTTTGTGCTTGGTGCTTTTCGTTTCCCCTGTTTGAGAGCCTCTATACAGAAGCAAAAGTTCCAAACCTTGTTGATCGCCCTGATGCCCTTGCCTTCGCTACTTGTACGCTCTCCGATCTACACAATCCTTCCCTTATAGAATGGTCACCCATATTAGTAGACATTCTTTATTCGTTCGCCGCCCTGTTTGCTCCGTCCTTTTCTTCGCCCACATTCACTCTTTTTTCCCTTCAGTTACCACCTTTTTTGTTTTATTAGCTCTACTTTTCCCTACCCCCCCGGGAAGTTCCAGCTGTTGGGTCTGTTCTTTCTCACTCCCTTGTCGAAGCTCAATGCCTAGGGGCTTCCCCCTCTTTTTCTTGACACTTCCACTCCCTTCTCATGCCCCCGCTGGTACAAGAGGCTCTAAATCTTCAGCGGGTCGGAAATTTGCAGCAGTTTTCGGACAGCGTGTGCGAGGGCATTTACTATTTTAGCTGCATTTTTTTTGCTGAACGTATGCCATTCTTGCAGACTTATTCGTATCGCATTTCCTGTGTCATCATTTTTAGTAGTTTTTAGACTCCCCTTGTGTCTAGGCTATCGAAAATTTGAACACTCTCCCTAGTCTCCCATCCCAACTTTGGCTACGCCCTATCTTACCAAAATAAAGATAGGGTTTTTTGTTTGGGGCCTGGTCATGTCGCGTACAGGGCAATGAACAGGCAGAAATGCTGCGCGGTCAGCAGTGCATGACCCCCAATTTCCCTTCGAGATGTTCCATTTCTGGATATTTTGCTGCAAAAACTACCCACCCTTTGCACCGTTTTGGGAACAACGTTGGTCAACTTGCTCGGTAACAAACTTATTTTATTAACCGAGTTAGGTTTCTGGCCGTTTCTTGTCATCAGTGCGGGTTTGGGGGAACTCCTCCCCCCTTGCATTGGCAACTGTTTATCTGGGTATCTCATGGAGAGGCACCCCGTTCCTCTCTGTGAGCAGTTTCAAGTTCCCAAAATCGATTAACCTTTTGTTGCTGCCTCTCTATAACGGCAGCAAAAATTTCCCCCAAAAGTCGTCTTGTTTTACTACTCTCTCTTTACTTCCCTTCTTGTGAGGACCCTCCTTTAATCCTGACTCTCTCATTGACTTCTTTACAACGACTGATTTTTCCCCAAACTCTGATGATACTTTCGCCTCCCCCAGCCCTTTCTAGTCGTTCTTGCTGCCCCTTTTCCCCTTTTACCCTCCCCTACCCCGCGTTATCCGTAACCTATTATCATCCTCTCCCTTTTGCCCCTGATGCCCCGTTTCCCTTCCCGCCCCGACGCTGTATAGTCTTGTGGCTTAGCGCTTTTTTTTTATTATAATAATATCAGGCCCCTTTTGAATAATACTTTTAGTAACTCACAACTCCCCTTTATTTCCCCTAAAAATTTTGTAATATTTACACCACACACTGCAAAATATACCATCAATTGCCCTTTGCCTCCGTGCAGCATTTACAACCCCTGCTTCACACCTATTAAGAGTGATGGTACACATATTCTTTACATTCCTTCTTTGCCTCCATGGGTAAAATTTTTTTGTCTCCACAGATGCCTCAATGCACCACTCACTTTTTTTTCTTTATCAATTTATGGTTTAAAACCCCCCTTCATAAACCCCCTCCCCACCCAACTCCCCAATGTGAAAAAATTCACTTCTTCCTACTCCCCCCCCAAAGCAAATCCCCAGAAAACAGATCTAATTCCCTAAATCAAAAGCCCCTCCCAACTCAAGGACCTTTTTGAGGGGCTTGTGTACTAAGTGTAGCTCTAGGTTGGATTAGTAAAGATTTTGGGTCTTCAGAAGGTTCGGCTCCTGAAGGTTTATCCCCGGCTTTGGGGGTTTCTTTTTTCTAAAATTTTTTGAACCCCTCATTTTCTTGTTCACTTTCAATTTCCACACCCCCCCAAACTCGTCCCCTAACCTTTGCAACTTTCTTTAGAAACCCCAACGCACAGTATCACCAGCAAAAAGTGACTGGTCAACCCCCTTTTGTATTTCCACCCCCTAATTTAAAACCACCCCTCTCCCCAACACCCTAACATTTACTTCTTTTACAGCCCCCATCTATAAATATGTTAAACAACCATGGTGACATTACACATCCCTGTCTAAGGCCTACTATTTCTGGAAAGTAATTTCCCTCTTTCCTACACACTAACGTGAGCCTCATAAAAACTTTACAGCATTTATTAACTTGCTACCTATTCCATAAACTTGCAACATCTGCCACATTGCTCCCCTATCATATGTCTTTTCTAAATCCATAAATGCAATGAAGATTTCCCTACCTTTATCTAAATACTGATATATTTTCTGACACCCTCAAGAAGTTCAGTTGTGAAAGTATGATCCATGTTTTGCACCTAGTCAATGGAGGATCAACTATTCACCACTCCTAATACTGACTGATCCCCACAGGATTAGGATTAGCATTAGATGCAAATAAAAACAGAGGAGCACTGCAGTAAGCCTAACACCCCATGCCAGGCAGGTCTTCCTCTAACCCAACCCTTCTTACTCACACCTCTGTCTAGCCCATTTTCAAAACTACCCAAGGTGTCAATTTCAATGATTATGGAATTAAAGACTGTTAAGCATAGTTACAGATAAGTTGAACAATCAGCACATTTTATTTCTGAATTTATTGAAATCCAATTTCACATCCTTCCTCCCTCAAACCTTTATCCTCCAGGGAGGAGATATTTTATCATGGAAGAAGCTCAGAATGGGAAGACTTACTTTTTTTTTCTTAGCCGGAGAAATTTCTGTTTCACCACTTGAATTCCGCTTTGCTGGTTCAGAGGCTATCCTGGTAGAAAAAATTATGCAACTTCAATGAACCATCATAATATATTACAATTTATGAACAATAGAAAGTTATACATATAATGAAGCTCTTGAATCATTCAAGTAATCAAGCATTTGTTTCTACTCCAATGACATGGGAATATGGTACAGTATATACTTTACTGAAGTATAGTCTCACTTTATATATTGTTGATGCCTGAAATTTCTGTACATCTCAAATCACATACAAGTCTACCCACATCACAAAAGTGATGTCAAAGTGTCCAATGTACTAGTACGGAAGCTTTTCTAGGCCTCTAAATTTGCAGAGTGCTCCCATTTTAGGCCTCAAATGTGTTGTTTGGGTCACTTGCTAACTCGTGATTCCTACGAAAAAAATTGAGGCCATTGTGGGTAGTATCACCCAGTAATCTTAGGCTCACAATGGTTCGCCAGCATGCCAATCTTTCTCGCAGTGAAATCAGAGAAATAATGTTTAATCTAGACATCAATAACACTGAGGAGAGTGACAATGGAGATCATTTTCTGCCTTTGAAGGGGACAGCAATGGTGGTATAACTAGGAATGGAAGAAAAGTGCCAGCTCAACAAAAGGTCTTGCTAGATGGGGTTGTAAAATAAGTAAATGCTAGGGTGTTGGGGGCTGTATAGTCCTTGTGGCTTAGCGCTTCTTTTTGATTATAATAATAATAATAATAATAATAGGGTGTTGGGGAGAAGGGTGGGACTAAATTATGGGGAATCAAATATAAAATGAGAATTGACAGTTACTTTTTCCTGATGATACTATGCTTATGGGAGATTCTAAAGAAAAGTTGCAAAGGTTAGTGGATGAGTTTGGGAGTGTGTGTAAAGGTACAAAGTTGTAAGTAAACATAGAAAAGAGTAAGGTGATGAGGGTATCAAATGATTTAAAGAAAAATTGGATATCAAATTGGAGAGTAGTAGTATGGAAGAAGTGAATGTTTTCAGATATTTGGAAGTTGACATGTTAGAATATGGATGGATGAAGGACAAGGTTAACCATAGAATTGATGAAGGAAAAAAAAGGTGAGTGGTGCATTGAGGTATATGTGGAGACAAAAAAACATTATCTATGGAGGCAAAGAAGGAAATGTATGAAAGTATAGTGGTACCAACACTCTTATATGGGTGTGGAGCGTGGGTTGTAAATGCTGCAGCGAGGAGGCGGTGGAGATGTCCTATCTAAGGGCAATGTGTGGCGTAAATATTATGCAGAGAATTTGGAGTGTGGAGTTAATAAAAGTATTAGTCAGAGGGCTGAAGAGGGGTTGTTGAGGTGGTTTGGTCATTTAGAGAGAATGGATCAAAGTAGAATGACGTGTAAGGCGTATAAATCTGTAGGGGGAAGGAAGGCGGGGTAGGGGTCGTCCTCGAAAAGGTTGGAGGGAGGGGGTAAAGGAGGTTTTGTGGGCGAGGGGCTTGGACTTCCAGCAAGCATGCGTGAGCGCGTTAGGAGTGAATGGAGACGAATGGTATTTGGGACCTGATGAGCTGTTGGAATATGAGCAGGGCAATATTTAGTGAAGGGATTCAGGGAAACCGGTTATTTTTATATAGCCGGACTTGAGTCCTGGAAATGGGAAGTACAATGCCTGCACTTTAAAGGAGGGGTTTGGGATATGGGCAGTTTGGAGGGATATGTTGTGTATCTTTATATGTATGTGGTTCTAAACTGTTGTGTTCTGGGCACCTCAGCAAAAACAGTGATTATATATGAGTGAGGTAAAAGTGTTAAATGATGATGAAAGTATTTTCTTTTTGGGTCACCCTGCCTCAGTGAGAGATGGCCAACTTGTTAGAAGAAGAAATGATGATGATTGTAATAATGTTGGTAGAATTACCGACAATATGTAAAATAAAAGGACACAAGTGCAACGAATGTGACATTTTATTGTGGCAACGTTTCGCTCTCCAGGAGCTTTGTCAAGCTTGACAAAGCTCCTGGAGAGCGAAACGTTGCCACAATAAAATGTCACATTAGTTGCACATGTGTCCTTCTACTTTACATGATGATGACTGATGATTTGTAGATGAATGGTTCAGAGAACCGACATGTTGATAAATTAGACACATGTGCAACTCTTGGGTATCAAAGATACCCAAGAGTTGCACATGTGTCTAATTTATCAACATGTCGGTTCTCTGAACCATTCATCTACAAACCTGTCAGACACTGCAACTTCTTGGGATCTTAATACTTGGGAATTCTTCGCTTGCCTAATTCTTGGGCACGACCTACTTCAACATTGAACAAATGTTACACCACCTATGACTGCTGCACCTCTCCTGCCAACGGTTTATAAGCTCCTTCTCAGCACGTATGCCGCATTCTATTCAAGATTGATGGACTGACCACATCGACTCAAGGTTGAGGGACTGATTACCTCATTCTCCTCCTGTTCTTCAAGATTCTCCTTTGTATGGACTGATGAAGCCACTGTGTGGCGAAACGTTTCCTCAATAAAGATACCCAAGAGTTGCACATGTGTCTAATTTATCAACATGACTGATGATGATGATGATAGGTGTAGATGAATGTGTATCAACCAAAACCAGACGTGTTCGTCTTTTTACATCCCCCACGTCTCTCATTCTCTCGCTCTCTGTTTCTCTCGATTATTCATTTTTATATTGCTTACTCAACTCTCACCCTACATTAAGACTACAAATATTTTAAGGCAAGAAATGAGTGTACTGTATGTGCATTTTATTGCTCTAGGGTGCTGTGAATGTCGTAGTATACGTATTACTTGTGGGTGGGGTGACCTGGCTGGCTACCATACCTCCTACCCCTGACTATCATACCTCCTACACCTGACTTCCTACAAAATAAATACTACTTACCTCTCACCCTACATTAAAGACGGGTCATTGCAAGATTGAGACCCGTGCCAGGACTACGGTCTTGGCGAACATTATACTACATACATACACCCTACATTAAGACTACAAATATTTTAAGGTAAGTAATGAGTGTACTGTAAGTAATGAGTGTACTGTAAGTAGTGTACAGTGGTACCCTGAGTTTCGTACAGCTCCCAACTCGAACAACTATGTAAGTGTATTATTGTAAGTGCTTTTGTAAGTGTATTTTTGGGGGCCTGAAACGGACTAATCTAATTTACATTATTCCTTATGGGAACAAATTCGTTCGGTAATGGCACTCGAACAGTCTTGTGGAACAAATTTTGTACAAAACCCGTGGTATCACTGTACTTTTTATTGTTTTTAATGCCTAGTTCCACTGATAACTTAATATATGTTAGTGTAAACTTATCTAGCATTTATATGCATTTATAAGTGGAAAAAAGGTGTTTCACTTTACGGCAATTTCCGCTTTACGGCGGTAGGCTGGTATCTAACCTGCCATATAAGTGGGGTCCTACTGTACCTATTACAGTAGTGTACACACAATTTACAAGCATACTGCAATAAACATTAAAAATATAGTTTTACAGTAGTCGAAGGCACCCAGAATATTCCCTTGAACCTAAATATGCCATAAATAATTAACCTAAGATAACCCAATACAGTCACACAATGTGACTTCTTTCCATGCTTTGAGGAGTATCACACCTTGAAACAACTAATATTATAAGTATTCCCTGTACACAGAGATGATCAAAATAATAAAATCTTTCCTGGGTATGCTTCAATTTAGGGGTTAGAAAATAAAATATTGTTAACACTTTTGAAAAAATAAGCTCATACCTGCCAGGGCCCCAAGGCAGAAACCACCAATGTCTCTCCCATACTTCATTGACATACACTAATAAGGAACTATATATGCATTAAAATATGCTTACTATCACAACCTGCTGTCACACATGCATCTATTTCATTGACATACTTTGTCACAGTTGCTCTTTGCTGATGACACTGTGCTCTTGGGAGATTCTGAAGAGAAGTTCCAGAGATTGGTGGATGAATTTGGTAGGGTGTGCAAAAGAAGAAAATTGAAAGTGAATACAGGAAAGAGTAAGGTTATGAGGATAACAAAAAGATTAGGTGATGAAAGATTGGATATCAGATTGGAGGGAGAGAGTATGGAGGAGGTGAATGTATTCAGATATTTGGGAGTGGACGTGTCAGCGGATGGGTCTATGAAAGATGAGGTGAATCATAGAATTGATGAGGGGAAAAGGGTGAGTGGTGCACTTAGGAGTCTGTGGAGACAAAGAACTTTGTCCTTGGAGGCAAAGAGGGGAATGTATGAGAGTATAGTTTTACCAACGCTCTTATATGGGTGTGAAGCATGGGTGATGAATGTTGCAGCGAGGAGAAGGCTGGAGGCAGTGGAGATGTCATGTCTGAGAGCAATGTGTGGTGTGAATATAATGCAGAGAATTCGTAGTTTGGAAGTTAGGAGGAGGTGCGGGATTACCAAAACTGTTGTCCAGAGGGCTGAGGAAGGGTTGTTGAGGTGGTTCGGACATGTGGAGAGAATGGAGCGAAACAGAATAACTTCAAGAGTGTATCAGTCTGTAGTGGAAGGAAGGCGGGATAGGGGTCGGCCTAGGAAAGGTTGGAGGGAGGGGGTAAAGGAGGTTTTGTGTGCGAGGGGCTTGGACTTCCAGCAGGCATGCGTGAGCGTGTTTGATAGGAGTGAATGGAGACAAATGGTTTTTAATACTTGACGTGCTGTTGGAGTGTGAGCAAAGTAACATTTATGAAGGGGTTCAGGGAAACCGGCAGGCCAGACTTGAGTCCTGAAGATGGGAAGTACAGTGCCTGCACTCTGAAGGAGGGGTGTTAATGTTGCAGTTTAAAAACTGTAGTGTAAAGCACCCTTCTGGAAAGACAGTGATGGAGTGAATGATGGTGAAAGTTTTTCTTTTTCGGGCCACCCTGCCTTGGTGGGAATCGGCCAGTGTGATAATAAAAAATAATAATACTTCGATCAATCATAGATTAAATTTTTTTCCATTCTTTTCCAAGTTGCATTAAGTAAGTGCCTCTATATTTAAATGTACAGTACACATACAAACTGCACAATGAAAAAAAAAAAAGGTAGCTCAAGAAGCAGATATATTATATTCATAGAAAAACACTTAAAATTCATAGGGGAGGGGGTCACACAGGTCTGATCTAAGAGTAAAATTACTCCAATTCCTTGGATCAGGGGACCTTTACCAGCTACAAGGAATCCCAATGAAGGGATATATATGAAGCACAGGTAGACTCCGTATTGTATCACACTTACGTCTTCCTATGTGATGAGTCGATGTTTGGTTTCTGACCATTAAATTCCATTTCTGCTAGTTTTGTTTCCATTTCTATTGCTTTGGCTTCTGATTCATAAGTTATACAGCATTTCCTGAAACAAGGGCAAGAATATGTTAAGTGTTCAAAATACTGAATAACAAAACTGCCAACCGATCACTAAAGAAATTCAATCCCAAATTATAACTAAAAATGCCAGATTATTACGCTATCTTGCCATGGGCTTATATCTGGTCATGCAAGTGTGTGTGCGCGCTCGCGCAAACATGTACACTAAGATTGCATGCACAAGCACTGTGCTCTATATATTCAACAAATACCTTAGTTTCTGATTTTTTTTAGAGTAGGATTACGCCAGTAGCAGTTCTTACCATCCGAAGTGCATTGTTGTTGTTGTTTTTCCAAATTCCATTAATTCAGCAACGCCTTTATCAGTGATTGCACCAGGGAAATTCAAGTAAATAACACATTTGTCCTTCTGAGGCTCCTAGAAAAATTAAGAATCACTTCAAAATTAAATTTTATTAAACTTCTAAGGTTGCTTGAACAAGTTCCGAATCATTTTATAACTTCGATAATAGATAACAGCAGCAGTTAAATTTTAACAAGTGAAATTCCATTTAATTACAGGACATTTATTTTTACAATAAAATGCATTTATCAAAACAAAATTGTGAGAACTTACTGCCTGCATAGATCCATCTTGATAGCCATAGCCTTGCACCCAAGACGCAACTCCTGAATATCCACCACGGGTACCCCTAACAATGGGTCTTCCTCCCCTGCTGCTGCCTCTCCCTCTTAAGACAGATCCACTTCCCCTAATAACACGAGCTCTCCTTAAGAACCCTCTTCCCCTAGAAAAGTCATTTGTGTACTCCATCATACCACCCCGCCCACCTGCATATGCACCCCTGTTGCCTCTGGTGATACCCCTGGCTGCTTCAAAAGTACCTCTTGCTCCCCTGAAGCTACTCCTGCTTTTGTCATAATTTACCCTTCCTCTTCTTATTCCCCCTCGAGCAGGATCATATTCACTACTGCCACCTTCATAGCCTCCTCTTCCTCCCCTCGGGTTTGCTCTTCCACCCCTAGCCCAGGATCCTCTTACTCCACCACGAGTTCCATCATAAGTACTTTTTACTCCCCTGTATCCACCAGTAGTGGCTTCATAACCACCTCTCCCTCCAGTGTAGGCAGTTGTTGTTGTTCTAGGACCGCGTACTCTGCCTCCACTATATCGAGTGCCTCTTGCTCTTCCGGTAACATAACCAGTTCCTCTGCTTCCACTATAGCCACTATTTCTTTCCTGTTCATAATTACCATAGCCACTTGCTCTCTCTTCACCATAGCCAGCATAGCTGCTTCTATCTTCACCATACCCACTAGCATAACCACTTCCTCGGTCTTCACTATAGTTTGCATATCCACTCCTCGTATCTTCATAGCTGGTGTAACCAGGTGCTCTCTCTGTATTATATCCAGTATAAGTGGTATCTCTTTCTTCATAGCCACTATAACCACTATAGTCACCATCTCTTTCCTCAACATAGCCCCCATAAGTAGTACTGTGAGCTTCAGGATAACTATTGTAATTACTTCCTCCAGTATAGCTACCACCTCTGTTTCCTGTGTAACCACCACCCCTTCCTCCACTGTAACCTCCACTGGACCCTCCTTCATAACCACTAGTCATTCCTTCGCTATAGCCACCACTTCCTCCTCCTGTGTAGCTACTGCCTCTGCCTGGATTATAGCTACTGCCTCTTGCCCCAGTTCCCCTTCCTCCCCTAAAGCCTCCCCTCCCAGCATCATAGGTGCCTCTTCCTCCCTTATAACCTCCCCTTTCTTCATAGCCCCCACCTCTCCCACCTCTAAAACCTCCCCTGCTACTTCTAAAAGTTCTTCCCCTGGGCATCATTCCATTTGATCTATCCATAATTGTGGTTCAATTTTGAGCCGTCTTCCTATTTATTTTTTTCTGCTGTTTCAGTGAAGACTGGAGTTTCACACTCAGAAGTTTATGAGACTTAAATTGCCAATTTTAGTTTCTTGACAGACATGGAAGCATGATATAATCTGAAAATGAGATGTAAAACATTAAACTAAAAATTACAAGCAAAAATGGTTAACGGTTAAGTTAAAAGTTGTAAAATCTAGAACCCAGTAATTTCACAGTAAGCCATTTGTAAAGTCAGGAAAAATGAAAAAAAAACAGAAAGCACAAAAAATAATTTAAAATCTTTTAAGATAAAACAAATACCTATGACTGATTTTGAGAGTTGTGTTACTCTTTTATCCTGAGGTCAGGTTCTCTGCTGACCACCTTAACAATGGAGAAGAAAAAAAATGCTATTTTATCAAATAAAACTTTGATGGGAGAACACTGATCTATCAGGAACGTGACGGTAAGCTGTCCAATATACAAAAACAGTTAGAAACAGAAATACAAATAGCTAGAGCTTCATTTAAGGTTATTAATAGAATATTCAAGAGGTTGCTAGTAGAATTGCAGTAAATCAACCATTCAAATCATTATGAAGCTGTGTGTAGTCTGTGGTCAGTCAAACAAACGGGCTTCCACATGGATAAATTGTCATTTTTGTGGAAATTGGTGTCACGCCCCTTGTGCAGATATTCAAGAACTAGCTACAAGCAGTATTAAAACAGAGAAGTGTTTTTGGGTATGCCCAAATGAGGAAAATCTGTGGACTAAAATCACAAGGGTATTAAAAGAGGACAACATCAAAGCTGCTTTCATCCACCAATCTCTGCAACTTCTCTTCAGAATCTCCCAAGAGCACAGTGTCATCAGCAAAGAGCAGCTGTGACAACTCCCACTTTGTGTGTGATTCTTTATCTTTTAACTCCACGCCTCTTGCCAAGACCCTCGCATTTACTTCTCTTACAACCCCATCTATAAATATATTAAACAACCACGGTGACATCACACATCCTTGTCTAAGGCCTACTTTTACTGGGAAAAAATTTCCCTCTTTCCTACATACTCTAACTTGAGCCTCACTATCCTCGTAAAAACTCTTCACTGCTTTCAGTAACCTACCTCCTACACCATACACTTGCAACATCTGCCACATTGCCCCCCTATCCACCCTGTCATACGCCTTTTCCAAATCCATAAATGCCACAAAGACCTCTTTAGCCTTATCTAAATACTGTTCACTTATATGTTTCACTGTAAACACCTGGTCCACACACCCCCTACCTTTCCTAAAGCCTCCTTGTTCATCTGCTATCCTATTCTCCGTCTTACTCTTAATTCTTTCAATTATAACTCTACCATACACTTTACCAGGTACACTCAACAGACTTATCCCCCTATAATTTTTGCACTCTCTTTTATCCCCTTTGCCTTTATACAAAGGAACTATGCATGCTCTCTGCCAATCCCTAGGTACCTTACCCTCTTCCATACATTTATTAAATAATTGCACCAACCACTCCAAAACTATATCCCCACCTGCTTTTAACATTTCTATCTTTATCCCATCAATCCCGGCTGCCTTACCCCCTTTCATTTTACCTACTGCCTCACGAACTTCCCCCACACTCACAACTGGCTCTTCCTCACTCCTACAAGATGTTATTCCTCCTTGCCCTATACACGAAATCACAGCTTCCCTATCTTCATCAACATTTAACAATTCCTCATAATATTCCTTCCATCTTCCCAATACCTCTAACTCTCCATTTAATAACTCTCCTCTCCTATTTTTAACTGACAAATCCATTTGTTCTCTAGGCTTTCTTAACTTGTTAATCTCACTCCAAAACTTTTTCTTATTTTCAACAAAATTTGTTGATAACATCTCACCCACTCTCTCATTTGCTCTCTTTTTACATTGCTTCACCACTCTCTTAACTTCTCTCTTTTTCTCCATATACTCTTCCCTCCTTGCATCACTTCTACTTTGTAAAAACTTCTCATATGCTAACTTTTTCTCCCTTACTACTCTCTTTACATCATCATTCCACCAATCGCTCCTCTTCCCTCCTGCACCCACTTTCCTGTAACCACAAACTTCTGCTGAACACTCTAACACTACATTTTTAAACCTACCCCATACCTCTTCGACCCCATTGCCTATGCTCTCATTAGCCCATCTATCCTCCAATAGCTGTTTATATCTTACCCTAACTGCCTCCTCTTTTAGTTTATAAACCTTCACCTCTCTCTTCCCTGATGCTTCTATTCTCCTTGTATCCCATCTACCTTTTACTCTCAGTGTAGCTACAACTAGAAAGTGATCTGATATATCTGTGGCCCCTCTATAAACATGTACATCCTTAAGTCTACTCAACAGTCTCTTATCTACCAATACATAATCCAACAAACTACTGTCATTTCGCCCTACATCATATCGTGTATATGTACTTATTTATCCTCTTTTTCTTAAAATATGTATTACCTATAACTAAACCCCTTTCTATACAAAGTTCAATCAAAGGGCTCCCATTATCATTTACACCTGGCACCCCAAACTTACCTACCACACCCTCTCTAAAAGTTTCTCCTACTTTAGCATTCAAGTCCCCTACCACAATTACTCTCTCACTTGGTTCAAAGGCTCCTATACATTCACTTAACATCTCCCAAAATCTCTCTCTCTCCTCTGCATTCCTCTCTTCTCCAGGTGCATACACGCTTATTATGACCCACTTCTCGCATCCAACCTTTACTTTAATCCACATAATTCTTGAATTTACACATTCATATTCTCTTTTCTCCTTCCATAACTGATCATTTAACATTACTGCTACCCCTTCCTTTGCTCTAACTCTCTCAGATACTCCAGATTTAATCCCATTTATTTCCCCCACTGAAACTCTCCTACCCCCTTCAGCTTTGTTTCGCTTAGGGCCAGGACATCCAACTTCTTTTCATTCATAACATCAGCAATCATCTGTTTCTTGTCATCCGCACTACATCCACGCACATTTAAGCAACCCAGTTTTATAAAGTTTTTCTTCTTCTCTTTTTTAGTAATTGTATACAGGAGAATGGGTTACTAGCCCATTGCTCCCGGCATTTTAGTCGCCTCATACGACACGCATGGCTTACGGAGGAAAGATTCTTTTCCACTTCCCCATGGACAATAGAAGAAATAAAAAAGAACAAGAGCTATTTAGAAAAAGGAGAAAAACCTAGACAGAAAAAGAAACCAGCAATCCTACCATCATGCAAAACAGTTACAGGTTTTTGTTTCACAGTCATCTGGCAGGACGGTAGTACTTCCCTGGGTGGTTGCTGTCTACCAACCTACTACCTGGGTGAGATGTTATCAACAAATTTTGTTGAAAATAAGAAAAAGTTTTGGAGTGAGATTAACAAGTTAAGAAAGCCTAGAGAACAAATGGATTTGTCAGTTAAAAGTAGGAGAGGAGAGTTATTAAATGGAGAGTTAGAGGTATTGGGAAGATGGAGGGAATATTTTGAGGAATTGTTAAATGTTGATGAAGATAAGGAAGCTGTGATTTCGTGTATAGGGCAAGGAGGAATAACATCTTGTAGGAGTGAGGAAGAGCCAGTTGTGAGTGTGGGGGAAGTTCGTGAGGCAGTAGGTAAAATGAAAGGGGGTAAGGCAGCCGGGATTGATGGGATAAAGATAGAAATGTTAAAAGCAGGTGGGGATATAGTTTTGGAGTGGTTGGTGCAATTATTTAATAAATGTATGGAAGAGGGTAAGGTACCTAGGGATTGGCAGAGAGCATGCATAGTTCCTTTGTATAAAGGCAAAGGGGACAAAAGAGTGCAAAAATTATAGGGGGATAAGTCTGTTGAGTATACCTGGTAAAGTGTATGGTCGAGTTATTATTGAAAGAATTAAGAGCAAGACGGAGAATAGGATAGCAGATGAACAAGGAGGCTTTAGGAAAGGTTGGGGGTGTGTGGACCACGTGTTTACAGTGAAACATATAAGTGAACAGTATTTAGATAAGGCTAAAGAGGTCTCTGTGGCATTTATGGATTTGGAAAAAGGCGTATGACAGGGTGGGATAGGGGGGCAATGTGGCAGATGTTGCAGGTGTATGGTGTAGGAGGTAGGTTACTGAAAGCAGTGAAGAGTTTTTACGAGGATAGTGAGGCTCAAGTTAGAGTATGTAGGAAAGAGGGAAATTATTTCCCAGTAAAAGTAGGCCTTAGACAAGGATGTGTGATGTCACCGTGGTTGTTTAATATACGTGTATTTATAGATGGGGTTGTAAGAAAAGTAAATGCGAGGGTCTTGGCAAGAGGCGTGGAGTTAAAAGATAAAGAATCACACATAAAGTGGGAGTTGTCACAGTTGCTCTTTGCTGATGACACTGTGCTCTTGGGAGATTCTGAAGAGAAGTTGCAGAGATTGGTGGATGAATTTGGTAGGGTGTGCAAAAGAAGAAAATTAAAAGTGAATACAGGAAAGAGTAAGGTTATGAGGGTAACAAAAAGATTAGGTGATGAAAGATTGGATATCAGATTGGAGGGAGAGAGTATGGAGGAGGTGAATGTATTCAGATATTTGGGAGTGGACATGTCAGCGGATGGGTCTATGAAAGATGAGGTGAATCATAGAATTGATGAGGGGAAAAGGGTGAGTGGTGCACTTAGGAGTCTGTGGAGACAAAGAACTTTGTCCTTGGAGGCAAAGAGGGGAATGTATGAGAGTATAGTTTTACCAACGCTCTTATATGGGTGTGAAGCATGGGTGATGAATGTTGCAGCGAGGAGAAGGCTGGAGGCAGTGGAGATGTCATGTCTGAGGGCAATGTGTGGTGTGAATATAATGCAGAGAATTCGTAGTTTGGAAGTTAGGAGGAGGTGCGGGCTTACCAAAACTGTTGTCCAGAGGGCTGAGGAAGCATTGTTGAGGTGGTTCAGACATGTAGAGAGAATGGAGCGAAACAGAGTGACTTCAAGAGTGTATCAGTCTGTAGTGGAAGGAAGGCGGGGTAGGGGTCGGCCTAGGAAAGGTTGGAGGGACAGGGTAAAGGAGGTTTTGTGTGCGAGGGGCTTGGACTTCCAGCAGGCATGTGTGAGCGTGTTTGATAGGAGTGAATGGAGACAAATGGTTTTTAAT